CACACACACACACACACTATAGGCCTGTCAACATGTCCCAAAGCGTTTTCAAGCAGCAGAAGGCCTTGCTGTAAGGATGTGAAAACTATGAACAAACCAACCAAATAACAGTCTAATGGCTCTGCGTTCCTCCTTAAGCCAATTTGTTTTCACACAAAATCCAACATCTCCTTCTAAAACTAGTCTTCTGATAACCACGCCAAACAAAACTACACACACACAAAAACAGACTAGCAGCAGTATCCACACAAACACTCACTGCGATCAGTAGCAGAAGAGGAAGATTAAGAATAGTTAAAAGAACTCTTAAGCACACAGCTCGTGTCACAGAGACCTACTATTGCCCAGAGACCAACCGCACCGCTCGCTCCAGCCGCACCGCTGCGGTGGCCCCACAGCCAATCACAACACAGGAAAAGTGACATCACTCATAAACAACAAATTACATAAAATAAAACTAATCAATAGTTGTACTCTAAATACGCTACATGGCAACCAAGTCAGGTACAAACAACCTATTTACAAAGACGAGTAACAATGTTACTCTGATCGAAACATATTTATTCTGAGAAGAACATACGTGAAACTAACAGTCGACAAGACAAACAGTTGTTAGGATATGTTTGAATGTTTGTTTATTAACTGGGCTCCTGTCATTTTTCAAACGCGGCCCCTGAGCAGAGCAAGTTCATTATCCCTGGATAAAATAAGTCAAGTCAATGTAAGCCCATCTGGGTTTTTTGCCTCTCCCTGCACTTTGTTCGACAGGTAAAGACTGGAAGAGGCTCTGCCCGACTGTGTGTCAATGGCGCCAATCCTGTGAACAAAGTGACAAGCTCTATTTGCTGTGGTGTGTGTGTGTGTGTGCTGTGTGTGAGAGAGATGAGAGAGAGAGAGAGAGAGAGAGAGACGAGAGGGTTGTAACAATGAATCTATGCTCTTTAGCAAATGGAGATCAATTTGCCACATGGTCGGCCTTTAAAGGGCTTTGGCAGGAGAATAATATTGTGTGTAATTGTGTGTTTGTGTGCATGTTTGTTTTCTGTCTTGTACATTGTGGCGTGAAACGTGGCATCGAGCTCATTTCAATTGGTGCACTTGGGTGTATTTGTGCCTGTGTGTGCTTTCTGGGCCTTTTTATTGCTGCTTACTTTTGTGCGCAGAGACCTGAACAGGTGGACTGTGGGTTGCTGGGTTTCCATGTGTTGTGGTTGTGTGTGTGTGTGTGTGTGTGCGTCCTTGCTTTGAAGGAAGTCCAGGCCTTCCATCTCTCAGCAAATCGCAGGCCTGAAATCCCAATCTGCCCCTGGAGAACAGCAGGCCTACCATCATCTGCCATGGATGGACACTAATCCAGCGCGTTTATCAGTAACCGCCCCCCTGAAACACACACTCCCTCACACACACACACACAGACACACACTATATCTTTCAATGACCACATGCATCGAATGAAGCACACACAGCCACACAGAGCCCGCTGTGACAGAGCACTGATAGCATTATTACCATAGCTGTTGTGGGGAGCGGGAGGGGGAGAAACTGAAACTCTGAAGACCTTGAGCTGCTTCACACTAATGCAGATGCTGACAGCTGCTGACCTGTCCCTCTTTGCTGATGACAACTTCCTATCCCACCATGTGCAGCCCACTGATTTGGACCCCGATTGCGACCCACATGCCTGCGAAGGGTGAACTGAAACACACGTCTCTGCCATCATTCATCTGCTTCAAGTCAGATTGGTTGCCAACATTTGGCTTTGTGGTAAAATCATTCATACAGTCACTGGAAGTTTGATTTTAAGGGATTGTTAATGTGAAGACATAAAGTTCCCGGCTCCAATATTAATTAATTCATCGTTCATTAATTTGCACGCTCCACTGTTTAGCCTGTCTGCCCCCCTAGTTAGCTGTTATGGTAATGTCTAAACATGTACTGTAAACTTCCACATCTGGATGTCCTCCGTTAAAGGTCCAGTGTCTAGGATTTGGAGCCAGTTTTTGGTTGACCTTTCTGGGCTACTGTAGAAACATGGCCACACTTGCATACAAAACGTATAACAAAAACACAACGATTAATTTTTCAAGTGATTATACACTCAGAATAGAATATAATATCCATAGGTCCGTTTTCATGACTAACTCAGATGTTTTTTTATTTTATTTTTTATTTATTTATTTTGCACAGATTAGAATTACATAAAAAAAAACGACAAAGATAACAAATAATGCTAAAGTG